TTCCCAACACTCACTCCTGATTAGAATGCAAGATGTTTTCTTTTAAACTTGGAGTCTTTAATTACTGAGTCTAATCAGAGAAAGACCAGCAGCACCCCAGGAATTGGAATGAAATGCTGGAGCATCTTCGTGGACTTCTTACCAGTGACTGTAGTCACAGATGCTCAGTGTCAGCCTCTATCACTCTGCTTATCTTCCAAAGGCAGTTTATTTGTCAAGAACATGCAGCTCTGACAAAGGGAATGTGAAGTGCACCCTACAAGGTTTCAGCAAAAATGGAATTGGTGGTTTCATTAGGGGATTTTGGAGGCGGGACCCACAACGTCATTGCAGGATCGAGTGGGTACTGTAAACTAGCTGCACTCTCTCCGTAGAACCCATGATGGACTTTACTCCTAAACTGATGGCATGTCTGATGCCCCTAGTAGCACTTCTTGAAAGTGGAATCAAGGGAATAGTTGAATTGGGTTTTGCAAATGATGAAAATGATACTTTAACACTTGGGTTTTAGATAGCTTTATTCATATTTCCTAAAAACCTAGACCCTCAGGGATCAATAGGAGAGTTTTCTTTGGTTTGGTTTTGGTATGTACATAGTGTGTGTGTTTACTTATTACTAAGAACTCTCTCAGAAGCTTGAGTTCTTGTATGTCTGGAATAAAGTGGATCCTCCAGCTCCCTTACTTCTCTTAATTACTCAACCTGAACATTTACTCTTATCTCCCAGGTAACAAATTACCGTCTTGCTCCCCCTAGTGGAATTGTCACTCTACTTCAAAGCTTGAGGTTACTGTATCAGTACATATTTGATTTAGCGTCTTATTTTTGGTAATCAGATATTTTCCCAATTTGTTTTCAAAGACTGAGAATAAAATCAAAAAGTATCGCATTGATGGGCTGATAGGGGATGGGTAGGGAAAGTGGCTTTTTGCTGATAAACTTTCAGTTCCCAGTGTTAGCAAGGTTAGCTACATAATTTATAATGGCTGCCAAATTCAAGGGGCCCCTCTGCTCTGCACTTCTGTCTTAGGGAGTCAGATGTCATTAGCCTGGGAGACGGTGTCCTCTAGAAGGCAGCTGTCAACACTCCTGGCAAAGATGGTAGGGTGCTGATAGTTGGTGATGTTGAAAGACAGGGACAGGTCCCATCTGAATATTGAATCCTGCTTGTGCCATTGGTAAAGTAGGCCCAGGAAGTGTCCTTCTGCCTTCTGAATCTGCGTGAGGGACTGTGCCAATATCCACCCACATGGCAATCATTTCCAGTTTACAGCTGCTAAGCATGCTCAGAAAATTTTAGTAATCGAAGCTGAAATTACTGCATGCCTCTCTTAAGAATTTAAATTTCTTTAGGGAGTGATAACTAATGCTTTCATGGCATTGGAATCTCTCTTTTTTTTCCTGCCACTATTTGTTTTTCACAACTTTGACCCTTGTTATGAATTTGTGTTTATTCAACTTTGTACCCTATCGCACACTAAGTATCCTATTTTGTATATACTGGTGTTGAAATATGTGAAACTTCAAAAAGAAATACCGGTACATGCCAAGGCTTAGGACTCTGCTCTTTCACAGGTAAGACTTTGCTTCTAAGCCTTATCAAGTTCAAGGCAAAAGCTGCACAAGATATAGTGGTTGCCAAAGCAATGGTCAACATAGTACAAGTACTTGAGACTTTTGAGCAAGAATATTGTAATGAAAATATTCCCCCTTTCTTAAAATCGTGTAATAGAGATAATATTTAGATACATCTTTTTCCAAATATTTATTCTCAGGGTGAGTGTTTACCTAGGGAAAAATAAAACAGCAGGATCGGATTAAAATCCCAACGAAAGAGAGTGCCAATGTGCTCTCTGGGCATGTTTTATTTGGAAGTGTGGAGAAAAAAAGAAACACCCGGAATGTTTTTTTAAAAAATACTATTTGCTCAAGAGTCACAGTAATTTAGTTCAAGATTTACATCCATGCAAACACACAGCTTCCTTTCAAGCAGAGCGTGTATCGATGAAGTTCTGGTTTGGAATCTCATGGTGCTTGGATTCACAATGGTGAAGATAATGGTGTTGTAGCAGCCACGCAGCTCTGCTCGGGCGAGAGATGTCCATCTAGCGAGACTTGGGAGAGCAGACACTTTTCTATTCCACAGGGAGTGTGAGAGATTTGTCTGTGAATCAACATGTATCTCTGTGCATACACACATGAGTGTAGACACAGATGTGTATGCACATGTGCAAATGCGGGCGTGTGCATGTGGGTGTATGTGTGCACAGATGTGACCGCAGCATAGAAGAGTCACAACAGTAGTTCAGCTGCTTCTTCCCAACGCGTGCGGGGAATTCTGTGCATTGGCGATACTCTCCAAAGCAGCTTTTGGCAGGGCTAGCTAGGCCCGGAGGAGCTGGGTAAGTGTGCACACCACTCTCTGCTGGGAGTCCTGTGCACTGATGTTACCCTTCAAAGCAGGCTCAGCGACGGGCCTGCAGTGTTTGGGGGCTCTGCACACCACTCCCTGCTGACGGGCTGTGCTGGCTTCCTTATCTGGCAGCTTTGTCAGGGTGGCTCTCCTTGGGAACATTCCAGCCATAGCTTGGAACCCTTGTCTTTCTTGAGAAGCGTGAGGTCTGAAGGCGACAGAATATCTGTGCACATTCCTTACACTTGTGAGTGCTGAGAGGTTTGCTGACCTAGCCGTGTTCCCTTACAGTGACTAACCAGCGGTGCATTAACTCCTGGGGTGGGTTTCCTCCTCAGAGTCTTAACTTCTCAACTGTTGATTGATCACTGTTGATTTAACACCGAAGTCTTGTCAGACTCTGCCTCTGCTTGTCATCCGATGGTTACTGAGGTTTCTTACTTGTTTTCTCTTAAGGTTCAAAAAGGCAGAAATGTGCACACAAGTGTTTGGCCACAAGCACAGCAGATAGAGAATTATGAAACAGATAAACAAGATTCAGCATTTTTGTTGAAATCCTGAGTTTGTGTCTGACTCCGTGTTTTATGTGAAACATGGTCCTCACCGCAGAGCAAATAACTTGGAAACATTATCTGATAACCAATGGTCAGCAAGCCCGTGGAAGGATCTCCTTGTCCTTAGCAAAGCAGCCAGCTGAGACTGAACTAGCAGAAAACTTGTATTCTTCAAGGCTTCTTTCCTGCTACGTCATTGTTGGCAACTTGAGAAACTATCTTTGCACCTCGGCAAGGAGGTAGAGTTGAGAGAGCATTTGGGGCAAAAAAGAGATACATCTGTCCACTTGCTGGAAACTTTTATGGCAGAGGGGAAAACTGTGGACAAATTTCTAGCATATTGGAATATTTGCAATTTAACATTTTTTATATAGTATTTCCTCAAGTACTCATACTATATGCTACTGACAATACTTTTATTGGTCCCCCCAAATAATAATAAATGCTGTCAAAACCTGTGAGAAAGGCAACAGGAGGGTAAAATAGAGAAAAGAAAATTTATAAGGAATATGAAGACTCAGATTCTCAAGTAGATGAACAGGGAGAGGTCAGGTGAGGCTAATGATTTTACCTTAGGCCAGTGTTCACCAGTTCCTAAGATTAAGTGGGCATTTATGAAAAGTCTAGATTCACAGGCCCCCACCCCAGATACACTAAAGCAGAATCTTCGGGGGAGGGACCCAGGAGTATTGGTCTCACAAGCATCACAGGTGATTCTTATCATCAGACAAGTCTGGGAAACTGCCATCATCTAATTGCCTACTAGGACTAAAATATCTCCAGAAGTTGTGAGTGAATGTGTATGTATGTGTGTCTGTAATTGCCAAAGTTTTTCATTTTTTGAAAAAATAAATGTCAAATATTCCATACTGGCATCATTAGACATTTCTTGTGAAAGCATCTGTTGTGTAGGGTTTTCCCATACATTATCTCATTTGTTCCTAATAACAATCCTATGAGGGGTTGGGCAGCACGGTCGTGCTCACCCCCAGATTACACGTGGGAAATGGGCTCACGTGTAGCTGGCCAGTGGTGGAGCTGCTTTGAACAGGACCCTTCACCAGGTGGGGCAGGCCCAACACCACCTGCAGAGCCCACCACTTTTCCTCTTTTACCGCTCACTCTAGTCACCAGGTTAACGACAGCATTTCTGACAGATCGGGTTCCTTGCATATCCACACCTTTGCACACCCTCTGCCCTCTTTGCACACCCTCTTTGATCCCTCTGCCTGGAATGCCCTTCTTTCCCCTTCTGCAAACTCATACTTACTCATGAAGGCATCTCCCAGGAAGCGTTTCTGGATACACTCTTCTCCTCACCCCACCTGTGACCCAAGCAGAGCTAGTTTTTCTTTCAGCGGTGTTTCCATCACCCTTTATAAATCCTGTACTGTGTGTTGCGTCTTGTTTGATGGACGTGAATTCACCGATAAGCGCTCAGTAATGCCCGCTTCTTGCCCACCACCCTGCCGTTGTATTTTGAGTAGGCAGTGGGGTGTAGTCGCATCTAAAATACTCAGTGCTTGTTGGCTAACGTTACAGGGAGCGTTTGGGAATGATTTCAAGGATTTTCCAAACATTGACAAAGAAGTGTTCAGGTGGCCGGAAACATGGCTGTTACCATCCTCTAGGAGGAGAATTGTTTGAGGGTACTAGGGAACATAGTCTAATGAGAGTTGGGGGGTGACAGGGGACTGTATGTGCAAAACCACAGATGTGAGAGCTTCCTTGACGGGGAATTTAAGGGCCTCTCAAGGACATCCTCAACTATGGGTGATGTTCCTGTGATACTCGTAGCCCCAGGTGAGATATGGCTGTCTATCACGGCTTTCAAATTGGATTATAGCTATTATTCAAATAGCTCCCCCACTGGACTTCTAGTGAGGGGGGATCTGAGCTATATTTATTTTTGTCTGCCTATTGATAATTGTTGAATAAACTTTTAGAGAACAAATCTTCTAGCCATCTGCATCTGAATGCAATCAAATGTATTTAATGATAGTTCTCATTCAAATTCTCCTGTGCTTACAGCCACCACTGGTCCAAGCAATCTTCAGCGGTGATCCAGAAGAGATACGGATGCTCATCCACAAGACCGAAGACGTGAATGCTCTGGTAGGAGATGCTATGGTTTTGCCTGCTCAGGCCCTCTTAACCTTTTCTGAACCGTGGACTTCTTTAGTATCTGGTGAAAGCTCTGGATTGCTTTTCAGAATTCTGTTTTTAAATCCACACAAAAAAAATACGTAGGGTTAGAACAGAAATCACTTATATTGGAATACAGTTATCAAATTGTTAAAAATCAAATTTGTGGTATAATAATATATGTGCTTCTTTATCAACACATTTAAATAGCAAGATACAGCAGAAGGTCTAATAATGACTATAATTTAAAAATCGTGATGAGCATGATCAATATTTACGTTATCTGCAACTACTCTACGAACATACCTGTGATTTCTGCTGGTGACAGAGTCAAAGTTACTGCTGACACTGCTGAGGTTTGCTGCCTACATTCATAATGGAAGGAAATGTGAAATTTCCATTAGAAGTTAGTGAAAATAATGATGAAATATTTTTATATCTAGAACCCATGCCCTACAGAAGGGGTTGACAAACTACAGTCTGTCACCTGCTTTTGTACAGGCTACCAGCTAAGAATGGTTTTTATTTTTTAAATGGCTGAAAAAAAATGAAAAGAATAATAATATTTTGTGACACATGAAAATTATATGAAATTCAAATTTCGATGTCTATAAATAAAGTCTGGTGGAACAGGGCCACGGCTGATTTCGCTCTGCAGCAGCAGAGTTGAGTACTTGTGACAGAGACTGTATGTGGCCTGAAAAGCCAAAAACACTACTCGCTGGCCCTTTAGAGGGAAAGTTTGCTAACCTCTGCCCTAGGGGGTCCATGAACCTGGGGTTGGTGGATGAACTAGGCCTCCTGTGTGCACTCTGAAATCATATGTAATGTACGTGTGCCCTTGTGGACAAATAAATATTATTTTCTGTAAGATTTCTGAATAAATATTTTTTTCTGTAAAAGGGTCAAGGCATGTCATCAAATTCTTAAAAGGATCCATGACCCCCAAAATGTTAAGAACCACTAGATCTGGAAGTTCTTGAAACAAACAAACCTGCAATGAAGGAAAGTGAAAAGAATTAGTCGATTATTTACCCTGTTAGTAGTTTCTGAGACCTAGATCGAACAAGCAGTTATATGCGGTACATGCTACCACTTCTCTTAACGTAACTCAATTACCTGAATGCTCCAGTCCATCAGGGAGAAGAGCTCTCCCTGAAACCTCTAGTGTTGGGTAGAAACAGCAGAAGAGTCAGACACACGTGCAGTGTAGGAAGGGCTTTGCCATGGGGCAATGAATTATGTCCGAGGTTGCATCTCCATCCGGTTGGCGGAAAGCTGCGTTCAGAAGGTGGGTCATCCGGCACGGCCGTCTTTCTGTGGCTGTGCCGGTCGGTGTGGCTTTTTGAAAAAGCTTTTGGCAGCTTCTCCCCAGCTGGCACTGAAAACAACGGGGCAATGTTTTGTGACATTTTTGCAAGGGAAGCAGAGACGAGGCCAGGCCCAGACTACTCAAGAAGGCGGTTGGGCATTTGTCCAGAGCCGGTGGGGTGTGACCTGTACTTCTGAGAGGAGGCGAGGCAAGCAAGCTGACTGTCCAGTGTTCTGACATCACTGGAATGTGCCCAGCCCATTCTGTGGCTGTGGCTCGAGCCCAGGCAAGCCCAACACAAGGTTACTATCTTCTCCTGATCATGAGCAAACAGAACTTTTGTTCAGTGTTACATACCAAGAAAGATTGCGCTGTCTTCTGAATGGCCTTTATTTCTTCCTAGGAAAATGACAAACAGTTGATGGCTGGTAAAGGTTAGGAGAGCTTAACTTTAGTTGTAACCCAACTGTTTTACCGAATTAGTTAGACAGGTTAACTACTGTAACACATAGACTCCTAAATGTTTGATGGCTCAAGAGAAGTGTAGTTCTCTTATGAACAGGTAAGAGGTGTGGCTCTTTTCCACATAGAGTCCCAGGTATCAACATGTAGCTTCTAAGGTCACTGGAGGGGTTTGTATCCCATCCAGCCAGCTACAAGGGAAAGTAGAGCATGGAGGCAAAGGACGGGAGGATTTTTATGGGTCAGCCTGGAAGTGGCATAATGACTTCCACTCACACCCCATTGACCAGAACTCAGTCACGTGTTCTACTGACTGCACCTAACTACAAGGGAGGCGGGAGATTAGTGTTGCTGTGTCCCAAAAGAGTCGGAGAACACTGACTTTGGTGAATAGTCAGCAGTCTTGGCCACACCAGTTTTTTGGTGTTAGAGAATTCTAGGGCAATCAGGTGACAACACTTACTTGTCTGTGCAGTGTCTGATTTGTTCAAAAGTCGTTTACTGAGTTCAGACTCTGTGCTAAGTGCTAGGGATACAGCTGTGAGAAGACAGCTTTTTCCCTCATGGAGCTTACAGCATGGCAGAGAAGGCGACAAAGGAGAAATCATGCTGTGGTGTGTTTTTGAAGGGGAAAATCCAGGACACTGTGTTGGGGCCTTGGTCAATCATGAGGGACAGGTGAAGGGATGTGTAAACTGAGCCCTAAGGGTTATTACTGTGGAAATTGCTTTGTGTTTGTGGGTTGTTGGATGTGTGGCCGCAGGGACGGTGGGATGAAGGGAGGGAGAGGAATAAATGAATGAATGAACGAACAAACGCAAGGAGGACCTGAGTTCTTTAGGCTGATGGAATGGCTCTGCGGGGCCCACAGTCCCTTTCCTCCACTCTCGCCTCCTTAGACTCCCTCTTCCATCCCCCTTTCCCTTCCCTCGGGTGAGGATAAGAAGATGGTTTGATCTCCCACTCCAGTATCAGGGATGTTGGAGACACTGAGCTGGCTTCTTCAGGTCATGCTTTTCTTTTGCCGACCCTCCATAGGGATCAGTCACCTTGACTATTTTGCTGGGGGTGGATCAAGCAGTTTAGGGGAAGTGGTTGTTAACAAAGGGCATAGGGAGATGGAAGACAAATAAGGATTAGAAATCTCAGCCCAGAGACTCATTTTAGGAGGGAAAAGAGGCTGCTAACCAGTACATTTAAATGTCAAGGAAGGGAAATAAATAGTGCAGGAGCCTCCTACTAGTGGGAAGACAGTATTTGTCTTCTTCCCTTCTCACCATTTGCTTTCTCTCTTTGCCTCTATTTTATTCACTTAGCTTTTCTTTCTCTCTGAGGTTCTGGTTTTTTGGCCTTTCTTTTTCTTCTCTCCCCACCTCTCTGTGTCTTCTGATGGGTTGCATGTTGTTTGGGGTAAATATGCTTCAATTACCTGATCCTGATATAGGAAGGAATCTCATTCAGCTTTGCCTCTTGTGTCTTTCCAAACTTTATTTCCCACTAATAGTGTTCACGAACCCTATGCATCAACCAGACCAAATGACTCAACCCATTGGTATTTATTCTTCTCTCCCTTCCCCAGTGTTCCAGTCCCACCTGTCCTTCCAGACCTACTGCTTCCTCTATTAATTTGTCCTAACTCTTACTTCCTTTCTGCTGCCTTCTCTGCCACCTCCCAACCCAGCCTAAGAAACCTACCTCCTCTTAACTCCCATAGCTCTTAGTACCTCACTGATCACTGAGTTATTTATATCTGTGTTTTACTTTTGAGAGACTATGTGCTTGATGACATGATAGTTATGTCATTCATTCTCGTTTGTTCAATCGCCCAGTCCAGTTCTTGCAACACATGTTGAGTGAATGACTAGACCCTGCTTTAGTACTTATGTTGAGCCAATTTGTGGTGGCCTATTTTTTTATGTTTGTCAATGTGGACAAGTCGTCAAACAGTGTCTGGCTTAGTGTCCCTTGGGTCTCAGTTGTGAGATTGAAAGTTCTCTTCATAAGAATGAAAATCTGTAGGTGGATTTGAGGAGCCACTGAAGGATCAGGAAGGATATTCAGAGTCTTTTTTTGGTTTCTCTGGCTAGTGGCATGCCAGCGCTTGGAAATGTGGGAAGACAGTTCTACACTCTGAGGAATATATTTAAATTGACCCAGATGTGGCTGATAACAGGAAGGATTTTAGAACGCTTCATCAGACTAACCAAATTGAGGCCAAGGTGGAGCATCTGAATTCAAAATAAATGCAGAGATTCTGAAAACCAAAATTTGAATTCCGTAAAGGCATTTTTGGGCTTATGCTATGACAACATGACATTAACAGACAGTTTTACTGTGCCACACTGGAGCAGGGACAGAGACAAATTGGTGCCTGTCAATGGCGAGTGGTGAAGATAGGGAGGGAATCATGCCATGTGAGGAGTGGTTGAAGAAACTGGTGAGAGGCTTGGGAGGGACAGGAGAACTGTCTCAAATAGTTCAAACACTATCAAGTTAAAATGGCACTAAATTTACCATCATGTCATGTGGTTGTAAGCTACAGAAAATAAGATTTCAGCTCAAAATATAAGAAATAAGTTAATAGACAGAGCTTTCTAAAGAAATAAAGAGTTGACTTGACAAGTAATAAGCTCCCTGAAGGGCCACTGGACTGGAGGTTCTGAAGGTGACTGACAGTAGCACATGTGGCTCTGCTCTCCTATGTGCCCTCAGCCGACATGGCTTATGGTTCATGACATTTTTTGAGTCTTAAAGACCAAAATTTCTTCTCAGGACAGCACTATTAAGTTGAAGTTGGCCTGTAAATTGAAACCTCCTTCCCATGCCCGGAGTAAGTGATGTTTAAAGTCTCTTACAACTGTGAAAGATGACAATTCCAAGATTTGTAAGTCCCATGTGATAGCAAACCCATGATGTTTATTTCTTTATTAAAAGTATCACAAACAGGATGAACACACACACACACACACACACACACACACAACCATTATCATACCAGATAAATTAACAATAATTCCTCAGTATCGTCTACCCAGTGCATATTCAATTTTGTTTTATTCCAATAGTCTCAAAAATGTCTTTTTACACTTGAGTTGTCCCCAAGTTGATTATTTTAATCCCTCTATTTTATATAACAAAATGATTTTGTCAAGCTGTTAATGTTTGTTATTTGCCCTAATAGGATTTGGCTCAAGTA